TTTTGGGAAAGTAATCGGTAATTAGTTATTGATTACTTTTTTCAAGTAACTTGACCAACACTGATGACCACTTTTCCTTTTCAACACACTGGAGTTTGTCTCCAGGCTTCCTGAAGGACATTTAAAGCTCTGTTTTGGATGTTGGCTGTCTTTTGTTCCGTTCTCTGTCAAGATGATTCCAGTGTGCTTCAATAACTTTTAAGCTCTGGGCTCTGGGGAGACCAATACATGACTGATGGTGTTCCACTGTATGTTTTTTTTTCCATTAAGGTATGCTTTTACTGCATTGGCAATGTGTTTCATGCTGAAAAATGAAGCTGTTGCCAATCCGATGTTTTCCAGAAGGTATTACGTGATGGATCAGAATCTAAAAATACTTTTCTGCACTCATAATTTAATCAATTTCGACAAGATCCCCCAACACCACTGGTAGAAATGCACCGAGTTTTACAGATGGCTATCGACACTCATGGTTGTGCCTCTCTTCTGACCTCCTCCATACACACTGTAGATGATTTACACCAGAAATCTGAAATGTAGATTCATCACTCCATAAGACCTGTTGCCACTGATTTTAAGTACAGCTGTTGTGTAATTTTGCATTTTGCAGCCTCCTTATTTCTTCAGGACTCAACTTTCAGGTATCATCTGCTGTAGATAGGTTTTTAGGTCTGCAAATATTCTTCTTTTGCCTTCTACTTCTCAAATTGTCTTTTAAGAACAGACCATACTGAGATATGGCAAGTTTTCAGCTAAATGATATGGTTGTGCAAAAATGATATTGTATGCCTGCCTGTACATTTGGCTAAAGAAAAGGGAACAAATTATGTGTTATCCTTGAGTTAGGTGAATGGTTTTATATACTTGAATAAGTCATAGGTGAGAGTGAAGTGGCTTGGCAAAACCAAACAAAAAAGAAAGAAAGAAAGAAAGAAAGAAAGAAAGAAAGAAAGAAAGAAAGAAAGAAAGAAAGAAAGAAAGAAAGAAAGAAAGAAAATTCCTCTAAAAATATTAAGGTACAAAGAGTGGACTGAAAATGAGACACAGCCAATATCCAAAGAAAAACTTTCAAGGCCTTCAGAAATCCCATGGAAGTATTGATCAAGACACAGAAGCAAAATATAAAGAAATAAATACTTAAGAGGTTACAATGAATTCAAAATACTAAAACAAGAAACATGAATTAAGTCTAAAATTTCAACCCACTGCAGCTCGAGGGTCTGTAACGTGAAAAATATTCAGTGTAAAGGTTAAATTTTGCTTGACTTCAATAAATATACTTAGTTTAATTTATAATTTAAAAGTGATTTTCCAAAGGTTGGTTGACTGAATGACACTTTAGGGAGCCAGCATGTAACTGAAACCCGCCTAGAGACAATACACAATCACTACTTAATGTTTTTTATGAGCTTGTTCAAAGGTTAGTGGTTTATGTCAGTAACTGTCCTTTTTGAACTGGTTTATATATTTTAATCATTACTGAAGCAGCTGTACGTTGAGCAAGAGTTCCAAGAAAGGGAGAAATTGTTCTATTTTTGTCCCAGTCTTTCATGCTTTAACACGAACTGTTAAGGAATTCAATAGTAGTGGATTTTTTCCTTGTCTTGATTACACAAAATATCACCAAGGCCTGTTGTTGGTCCATCAGCTGCACTTTGAGAACCAGTGCTTTAAAAAAATTTGAATTAAAGTCAAGATCACATCGTTCTTATTTTCTAAAGATAAGGTGCTGGTTAGCATTTCTTTGGAAAAATCTAGAGCTATTGACTCAGCCTGTTTTATCACCCGTGTAAATGTTATTGCAGTGGAATAGTGGTGGTAAACATTTCTTTATGGAACATTTTATTTTCTATTGAATAAAAAAGTAATAATAATAAAATGAATGTTTCTTCTGTTGTGTGATGAGTCTTTATTTAGGTTGTCGAAGCACTGCATCTGTCATTGAGTAGAAATGGTTATTCTGACTGATTGCACAGCAATCCTTGAGAGCTTTTTTCCTCCCACGTATGCATTTTCATTTGACAGCCAATATCATAAAGTATATATATATATATATATA